AGGCGTTTGCTGTCTCACCGTGAGGCGTCCGCTGTCTCACCGTGAGGCGTCCGCTGTCTCCCGTGAGCTTTCCAGTCTCACGTGAGGCGTTCACTGTCTCACCGTGAGGCGTTCACTGTCTCACCGTGAGGCGTTCACTGTCCTCAGGTGAGAGTGGAAGATCTGGATGTCTGCAGAAACGGATTAAATGAAGAAAGACATAAGACAAATGTATTGATTTACTTAATTTTTCCTCAGAATATCCCTCATGTTTTTGCCTCTTGCAGAAATTACTCACATGACTCTCAATGATCACATGACTCCCAATGATCACATGACTCCCAATGATCACATGACTCTCACCTGCACAGGTAGGCCTGCAGTCACTCCACAGGAGGTCCGTCGACGCTCTCCTGAGAGACCTCCGAGTCCAGAGAGTAGCAGGAGCTGCCGTTATCCTGATGGTCTCTGTTGGTGTCCTCAGAGGGCGCCGCCCCCCCCAACGAGGCCCCCCCCCCCGGCGGGCAGCAGGGGGCGGGGCCTCTGTGTCTGCAGCGCTCCGGGCGGCCGGTGTGAGAGTACATGTGCTCCTGCAGCGCCGCCCGGTGGCCGAAGCGACGGCTGCAGACGGCGCAGGAGATTTTACGCTTTCTGGCAGGAGGAGCCGGGCTGACCCCGCCCCCCCGACTCCTCCTGAGCTCTGAAGCAAGCTGATTGGCCAGCGCCTGGCTCTGCCTCAGCGCCTCCTGCAGACACCCTGCCTCCCCCTCCTCCTCACCCCCCTCCTCCCCGTGTCTGAACAGGTGTTCCCTCAGGTCCTCGGGGGAGGAGCAGCAATCTCCACAGCGCGGACACATCAGGACCAGCTGTTTGAACAGGACTCCCCCCTCCCCCTCGCCCCCCTCCTCCACCCGCTCCTGCTTGATGCGAGCCGAGATGTCCGAGTCGTCTCCAGAGGCCACGGAGCAGACGGTGCGCGGGGGGGCGTCCTGGAGCTCCGACGGGACCTCGGCGCTGCAGGAGGTCTTTGGGGCTCCCGCCTCCTTGTTGGCCAGCTGAGAGGAGATCTGGATGCCGTACAGGTTGGACATGCGGAGCAGGTCTGCCTCGGACTCGCCTGCTTTGCGGCACAGCTGGTAGGCGTGCAGGAACTTGATGCCGTCCTGCAGCCGGCTCTGATCCACCGGCTGCGCGGGGCAGGAGCCGGTGTACATGATGTGCAGCAGGTAGCTGAACACGTCCGGCTGGATGTCCGAGGGCTGGATCTTAATGCACTCGCTGAGGACAGACAAGAGGACACGTCAACTCCCTGTGAGTCCTGTTAGTGTCCCAGTCGAGTCCTGTTAGTGTCCCGGTCGAGTCCTGTTTGTGTCCCAGTCGAGTCCTGTTAGTGTCCCAGTCGAGTCCTGTTAGTGTCCCAGCCGAGTCCCAGTCGAGTCCTGTTAGTGTCCCAGTCGAGCCTCAGTCGAGTCCCGGTTGAGTCCTGTTAGTGTCCCAGTGGAGTCCTGTTAGTGTCCTGGTCGAGTCCCAGTCGAGTCCTGTTAGTGTCCCAGTCGAGTCCTGTTAGTGTCCCAGTCGAGTCCTGTTAGTCACCTGGTCGAGTCCCAGTTCGAGTCCCAATCGAGTCCTGTTAGTGTCCCAGTCGAGTCCTGTTAGTCACCTGGTCGAGTCCCAGTCGAGTCTCAGTCGAGTCCTGTTAGTGTCCCAGTCGAGTCCCAATCGAGTCCTGTTAGTGTCCCAGTCGAGTCCTGTTAGTCACCTGGTCGAGTCCCAGTCGAGTCTCAGTCGAGTCTCAGTCGAGTCCTGTTAGTGTCCCAGTCGAGTCCCAGTCGAGTCCTGTTAGTGTCCCAGTCGAGTCCCAGTCGAGTCCTGTTAGTGTCCCAGTCGAGTCCTGTTAGTTTCCC